TCAGCACCGGGACGCTGCTTAGGGCAACTGCACGCTGCGTAGCTCGGCTCATAGCACGCCTCCGCCCCAACAGCAAACCCAGAACATACCCCAGGGGTGTTCATCTTACCTTCAGTTGAGACCCCAAGGCTGTTCTCACCTGGGCTGTGTTCTGGCCCTTTTCTGGAGGCAGGAGATGAGAGCCAGAGCTCTCTCTCCCTGGCAGGTCACAGCCTGCCTCGGCAGCCCTCTCTCACAGCTGGCTGCAGGCTGAATTAGCACTGGGGCACACCAGGCCAACAATCTCCCCTGTAGGGCTACAGCCTGCCCTGCTGGTGTTAGATAACTGGGGAGTAGACCACAATTATAATGGTGTTTTCATGTCTGTAACTGTTTGCAGGTGCAGAGTAAATTAACTGTAGTTGGTTTCTTTTTTTCTGATAAAGCTGAAGTGCTTTCTAAACTCAGTGATGTTTTCTCACTTTGTTGCACATAGGCTGTTTAAATGGAGGTGGTCAGATCAAACCAGATGGTGAATCCAGCAAGGACCAGCTTCAGCAAGTTGAGAGGTTGTATGAGTCTCTTAAGACTGAAATTCCAGAGAAGAACCAGACTGTAAGCGAACTGTATGAGCAGTGGCTGGGTGGCGTGGAGTCAGAAAAGGCTGCGAAAGCTTTGCATACAGAGTACCACGCAGTGGAGAAAACAAGCACTGGATTTAATATCAAATGGTGAAGACTGATGCTGTGAAGCCCAGATACAGATACTCGGTGCCTTTTTAACTCAGTTATATTTAAGATTCTCAAAAGACAGCTACAAGTTCTGTGCCATCACTGGGAGTTTGCGATTTCTGACTCTTGTTAGGGATGAGAAGGTAATGTGCCTATAGGCAGGCAATATTAATTCCTACAGCTTTATAATTATTGAAATGATGTAAATAAAAACCAAACACTGACTTAAAACACACATCAAAAGAAGCAGTGACGCATCCTAGCCTCTGCACGGTCTTTAAGGACTAAATCTGCACTCCCTTTACAACCCTACTCCTACGAGAACCAATGAATTTAAGGTACTGAAGGATTTGGGTTGCAGTGGACTGTAGCCTCGCTGACATGAGCTTTATGCTACGTGAGAGTATTACTTGTCCAGGCCTTGCTGTATTTTCACAGCACTGAGTTTTACACCTGTCTCTGTCGGGACATCCTCATTTAGTTATAAATGGTCTAATGAGACCTTGGGTTCTGTTTTTCCATTTCACTGCCCCGACTGGCTGCCCTTGAGGTCCAGCTGCAGTATCCTGGCCCTGGCAGAGGGGGTGGGTACCAGCAGCCTGGGATGACGTGAGAAGCAGCATCTGTAGAGCTGTTTTACTGCCTGCTGAAATGTGACTTGAATGAATGTTTAAGAAGAAAAAGCTACAGTGTTTTTTTTTTTTTCCCTTTAATTACAACAATTGTCTATAACTGTGGGCAATTACATCTCTCTCTTGTTCTCCCTAAATACACTGTAGAGAGAGTCACAGAATTGTCACATCTACCCCATCCTCAACAGCCGGATACTGATGGATAATATCCCTACATGCAGAGAAAACAATTTTTTACAGTGTTTCAAGTAAGAACTTACTGCCAACTTTCTTTCCAATAAAGGACTAAGTCCTTGGTGTCTCTGAAAGGTGTTACTTTACAAAAGTTAATAGAAGCAAGCTGTGAGATGTAATCATTACAACAAGTAGTTTACCAGAACAATCCAAGAGGTTAGTAAAAACACATCTGGTTTAATGCAGCGCATTACGATGCCTTGCCAGAAGACAGATGGATGTGAAACAGATTTGGTCTTTTGTTACTGGAGATGACGTGTCTGTCTTGCTATCTGTATTTTTTACATACGGGTATTTTCAAAACTATATGCAGAAAAACTACTGAATGAATAACTCTGTTGTGGTCTATTTAATCTGAATATCAGTTTTTCTGGAGTTACAGTGCGTGTGGGGAGGATTTGCAGCTGTACCTGAATGCGAGGGGAAGGGACGCTGGCAGATGTGGAATCTCTCCTTGTGACTGCTGTAGCTGCAAGTGAACATGAACTTCAGAATGACATTATTGAATCACTTAATTATTTCTCCTTTTTCCACTTACTGCTATGCGAGGAAGAAGGACTGTGCAGAAAGTAGAGCTAAGTGGACGAAAACTGAAAACAAAGCTGCCACATTGCTTTGTTCTTCAGAGCAAATAGATGGAGCTGGTTACTGCCTCTAGCCCAGATTGAAACCTTGCCCGGGCCCTCTTCAAAGATCACCCTCACCCACTTACTGCAGACCTTGAGCTTAGGGCTGTCAAAAAGCAAAGCTGTCAGACCTTGACCTGCCTCTTGTTACGGCTTCTCTGGCAGTACTTGCCTGTGTCCTTCTCAAAGCCTCCTCCCCTCTTTATTATAAGTAAGCCAACAGTGTAAAAGACGTTTTTTTAAATGTTTTTAATTAAAAGCTTTACATTTTTCAGGTGTTGCTGATCAATTGGTGAATTCACAGTGTTCATAAGGCAAGAATCTCCCACTGCTTCCCCCTCCCCACCCTGTTCATTTTACAAGCAAGTTGGTAGTTGCAGTGAATGCCCTTTTCCATGCATAGATTTATAACACACAGTGTTATGCTAAACCACAGAATCTTTATCTACAGCAAGAGATACCACTGCTAATGCAAAGTCAGTCCAATATGCTGAAGTGCTGAGATCATAAACTCTCTACATCAGTGCAAAAGAAACACATTCTGTTTCTGTTGAGAACATGCACGTCAGGCCAGAAGGGCACAAAGAAATAAAGCTAAAAGTTAGCTGTAGATTAAACAATTGGGGGTCTACATTTTGTCTTTTCTCCAGTTATCAGGTTACCAACATGCACACTGCGAAAGCCGTCCAAGGACTCTCCACTCAGATCATGCAGAGACCTCAGCTCCTACAGGCACTCCTGGGCGTCCGTTCTTGCCGTGGTATCAAGAACGGCTCAAATTTCTCGCAGCCTTTGAGCTGCATGCTGCTGCTATCAACGTGAGCAGACTTACTGCTAGTTCAGGAACCCTCCCTGAACGCACAGGGGTGCACCTCTGCTCCCAGTATAAACAAACACCCAGGGGAACACCCAGGTAACATCTACAAACTGTACCACTGCATCTAAACTGGGGAACTTTGAGGCCATAGTACTGAGGCAAGTTGTGCAGCAGGATTAATTCTTCCCCTCCTGTGGGGGAGAGTGAATTCTAACACTATAACTTCAAAGGAAAAAAAGAAAACCTTAGTCTAGTTTCTAGCAAGGGAAGAAACGGCCACAAACCAGGCTTCAGTGGTAATGGATGCAGTTCACAGTCCACACATGAAAGATCCTGAAGTCAACTCTATTCCAGTGTTAGGAGCTAAAACATTTATAATCAACACTGTTTAAAATGACAACATACGGTAAAGGATTACGGGACCAACTCCTCTGCTCCTCTGTGTTTTCATTTGAACTACGCACAACGGCTGTAAACTCAGCAACACCGAGACGGTCACACACGCACTCTGCACACTGAGGTAAAGAACAAACGAGAGACATGCGACTGTCCCAGACGGAGCAACCTGCCACGTCCAGGCCCTCTGGAGGGATTTTCACAGCTATTGACACAGCTACCATCAAGCCCTATTTTTTTTTTCCCCACCAAAAGAGAAAACTACTTTACTGGTTTGTAATGCACCTCCCCACCACCTGCAAATAAAAGCTTTGCACAGTTTTCAAGACTTAAAAAAAAAATAAAATACAGTACTGATTTTGCACAAACTGAAGGCTGCAAGCTGCAGAGGCTTAAGAGACCCAGCTGCTCCCTAGCTCTTGTTCTAAAGAGAAGGCAACGTAAAGGTCGGTTTCACTGACACTTTCAGCCAAGCGTTTCCCAGTTTTTTACCTTGGGGAAAAAAAAAAGGCAGCAACGGACGCATAGCAGCACGTTGTTGTTTGCTGCCTAGAAACTGTCACACCTTGAAAAGTATTGTACAAAGCCGGTGGGTTAGAGCATGCTTTCCTCCAGGCCTGAACTCCACCTGGACGCACTCTGCATGGTTTAAGCGGTTTGGATGGCTCCCCTAAGTCAGCGATTGCGTTACAAATCCCTACGCAATGTTTCTATGTTGGCCTACTATAAAAATAGGGAAAAAAAGGGGGAAAAAAAATACCCAAACCCCACTGAAGTGAGGGTTTCTGTTAGCGCAGGTCTGGAGTCAAGTAGGTACTGATGAATGCCAGTGAAAACGCCAGTCCCCTTCCCGGCTTCCTCTCGTGCATCCAAGTCTCCGTGCTTCATCCCTGCCCGCCCTCGGCCTGAGATGGGCACAGGGATGGCTGGAGCCGAGCAGGCAGAGCCAGGAGGGCTTCCCCGCCAGCCCAGCCCCAGCGCAGCCCGGCCGTGCAGGAGGTCAGCGGCTTTGGAGCCGCACTGCTGCAAAGCTCCGCTCCCGCTGACCCCCGGGAAGCGCGATGCAGCACCCATGTCTGGCGGGACTGCAGGCAGGAGAGCCTCACAGCCCGACCAGTGCCGGCTGGTCCGTGGGGTACAGCATCGCGGTCCTCCCAGCGTCCCCACCTTTTCCATACCCTCCCTTGGCTCCCGCAGGCAAAGAGCTGCAGGACAGGCAGCAGCTCCCACACCCACCAATGCTGTGAGCGTGGGTGTCCTCTCCTCCGAAACACCTCCTGCCCAGCAGGAACTGCAGCCCAGCGGCCAGGGGGGCTTAACTGCTGCCTGAGCTCACTGAAGGCACCCATGCGCTCCCTTCCCATAGGGACCAGGCACTCAGCAAAGCTCCCGCAGGCCAGGGGAAGCCAGGCATGGCGCCAGAGGGAGCGAAGCAGAGCAGCCTCAAAATGAGCAGGTTAAAGACAGAAACCACTTCCCAACTTCCAAGTCTTACGGGAGTAAGTCAGAGCTGGACGGACACAGCCCAGGAGGAGCCCCCACCGCAACGGGGATGCTGCGTTTCGGCAGCCACCGCCACGGCTGCTCACTTCTTCTCGAGGAAGGGGCTGAAAAGTCCCCAATCAAACGCGAGCATGGCCTGGGGATTGGGCCGCTCCTTGGGCTTCTTGAAGTTATCCTTCTCGGTGCGGAGGGTCCTCAGCACCTCCACTGGGTCCGTCTTGCCCGTGAACTTCTGCAAGGGCTCCTCCCTGCAAGGAAACCAGCTCTGCTGTGACCGCGGGGGACAGGACGGGGACCCACCTCCCCGCTGGGACCCCAGCGCACACCGGGATGGACAATGGGGGAGTCGCATCCTCGTGCCAGGCGACTGCTGGGGCACATGGGGCTCGTCTGCAGCTACCCGTGCTGGGCAGTGCAGGACCCCGGGTCTGGGCACCCTCCCCTCCCTCGGGGCTTGAATTTCCCACCGGCTAGTGAAGCCACAGGAGAAGGGATGACACTGGAGGGAAAACGGGAGCAGAGTTTGGGGGCAGCCAGCTGGGGCCTGCCCACCCCTGGCTTGGTTTGGGGTTGACCCACGGTGGGGCCCTTCGTGCCCCCCAGGCCCCAGCGCTGCTTACGTGACCCGCAGGAAGGGGTTGTAGAGGAACTCCTCCTGCAGCGTGGAGGGCACCGTGGGCAAGTCCTCGTCATCCCGCTGCTGCCGAGGAACCAGAGATATCCGAAAACCGACCGGCATCCAACACCCCCCCCTCCGCCTCCACCCCGGCAGGGGCACAGTCACTTACTTTGGCCCACGCGAGTTTCTTCTTCACTATTTCATTCTCCGGTTCCACTTTCAAGGCAAACTTGAGGTTTCGGACGGTGCATTCGTGGCCACAGAACACCTTCTGCAATGCCAGCGGGAAGCACTTGGCGTCACACGTGTTCCCAGTACCAGGTCCAACCCATCCTGGTCCCGCTGCAGCCCCAGCCCTGGAGATGGGTGCTGCCTCCTGAGCGGTGCCAGCCTCGAGCCCCCTCCTGATTTTGGGGTCCCTCCCCAGGCTGGGGCCAAGATGCAGGGCACTCACCGTCTCCTTCGGCAAAGCCCCCAGGATCTGGGTGAGGTTGGTGTACATCTGTTCCGCCGTCCCCTCAAAGAACTTCCCGCAGCCTCCCACAAACAGGGTGTCACCTGTGGGGAAAGGGGTCTGGGCACGGAGGGGACCCTGGCCCCGCTCCCAGGGACCCGGGTGGGACCCCCCACGCGCTGGATTCGCCCCGTGAGCGCCAAGCAGGGGGGGGACGGGCAGCATGCAGGCAGCATGCCCCATGTCCCTGGTACCCACAGGGTGCATGTCGGCAGGGTGGGATACCTGAGAACAGAGCCGGAGCATCCGGGGAGCCGTCCTCCCACATGAAGTAGCACATGTGGCCCGAGGTGTGGCAGGGGGTGAAGAGGCACCTCACCCGGATGGCCCCAAACTGTGGGGAGAGAGGGTCAGGACCCTGCTGGGGTCACCCCTGCCCTGACAGGCAGCCAGACTCCCCCAGACCTCCCCAAGCCCCACAGCGTCGCCTGTTCGGGGCTCAGCGGGTCACAGACATGCCAGGGGATGGTGGTTTGGGCGAGTCCCAGGTTGCACATCTGCTCCGACAGCATTTAGCAGCGGGGCCCCAGGAGAAGGTTGGGTCCCCCAGCGCAATCCCAAATGGGCTGGGAACGGGACGAGGTTTCTCCTCCAGTCCAGTGCTCCATCCCAGCCCCAAATCCACAGTGCCACATCGGCAACCACCTCACGGCACAGGGAGCCCGAGCACAGCCCCGGCCAGGCACCAACCCTGTCAGCTCCCAGCGCAGTGCCGCACCGCTGGGGACTGTGCCATGGCCCAGCTCCACTCCCCGCCGGCCCGGCACTGTGCCAGCCCCGCAGGGCACGATCCGTGCGTGGGGGGCTGAGCCCCAGGGCGCTCCCGTGGTCCTACGGCCACGCACCGTCAGCTCCTGGTTGTGGGTCACCTTGTGCGTCAGGGCCCCGATCCGCTCATCAGCGCCGTACACCCGCAGGCCAGGGCAGAGCCTCGCCAGCTCCTCGTTGCCCCTCGCGTGGTCCCTGCGCCGGCAGAGGAGGGAATGGGCACCCAGCCCCACACCAGGCACGGCCGCCCCTGGCCCCTGGCTCGCGCCAGCAGCACTTACCAGTGGTGGTGGGTGGTGAGGATCGCTCTGAGCACCACATCTTCCTTCCTGATGATTTCCAGCAACTGAAACGGACCCAGAGCAGAAGGAAGTGAGCGCGCAGAGAGGAGGCGACACACACACCGTGCCCATCCCAGCACAGGATCTGTCCCGTACGGCACCGCTCTGCAGGCGAGAGGCCCAGCAGACCGGTGCAGAGAAAAGCACTGAAAAACACCCGCTGAGCAGTGAAGGGCCGAGAGTGGGACGAAGGCTCGGCTCCCCGCACCGGACCCCGTCATGCAGAGCGGAGCAGGCGGACAGGAACATGCTGCTCCCACGGGAACGGCAGCATTTTATGGCTGGTGCCTTCGCAGCGTAAGCACAGAGGTGCGGCACAGGCCACGCACAGGGTCACCACCACAGTGGAGAGATGGCGACCATGCAACCCATCCTGGCTACAGCAAGGGCCCGTGTGGGGCTGCCAACCCCGTGACTCGGCTGCCAGGAGGCGTTTAATGCCAACTTAAAATTCAGTGCTACTAACAAACCCTCTGGCTGCTCCTGATTACGTTCCTCAAAGAGGAAGGAAACGTCCGAGTCAGCAACAAACGCTTAAAAACTGCGACAGTGTTTGCGTGATGTGGAGCAGTTGAGGGTGGCACAAGGGGGTCACCAGGCAGGGGGGACACAGGGGCCACGGCGGTGAGGGGCGACCCTGGCCACTGCCTTCCCTGCCTGCCTCCAGCCGCACAGCCGCAGGCTGGCTCTCGGAAAACGGGACTTCACATGGGAGACGCTCCAAAGCTCTGTTTTGGATTATTCTCACTTGCTTTGGGGTCTGCAAGGCTTCCAGCTCTGGCACGGAGCGGGCTGGGAGGTAGCAGTTAAGGTGACATGGAAACCCCCCTGCGGCCCAGGGGTGGGTGGGAGCAGGGTCTCACACACGCCCACCCACTCCGTGGGGGCTGAACAGGGCTCGACCCCGCCGGTGGGATGCTCCACGCACGCATGGATGCACCCCGCTGCACGCGAAGACCCCGCATGCCAACCCCACGCGGGGCCGCCGCCACGGGCACGTCCCCTGAGTGGGACCCCGCAGCCCACCCGGGACGTGGCGGGGCTGCGGCCGCTCCGGGGACAAAGCACCTCTCACCCTTTTGGGGACGGCTGCGTCCACCGCGACGGCGTCCCGGGTGCTCTCCTCGATGACCAGGTACATGTAGTTGTCCTCCAGGACAGAAATCACCTTCACCTTCATGGTCCCTCAGCAGTGCCGGCCGCGGGACACGGGGGTCCCGGCCCCACGCAGCAGAACAAGGCGGGGGGGCCGGCCCCACGCAGGAAAGCGGGGGTCGGCCCCGGCCCCACGCAGCCGCAGGGCGAGGACGCGCGGGGGCGTGCGGCCGCCC